GCGGGTTAGGGGCGGTTCCTGCCGGGTTAGGGGCGGGTCCTGGCGGGTTAGGGGCGGGTCCTGGCGGGTTAGGGGCGGGTCCTGGCGGTTTAGGGGCGGGTCCTGGCGGGTAAGGGGCGGGTCCTGGTGGGTTAGGGGCGGGTCCTGGCGGCCCGACTCCAAGGAAACCTGCTTCTAAAGATGCGGGGGCGGAGCCTCGCGGCACCTGGACGCAATCGGGCCTCGCAGTGGGCTCCGTGGGCCTGCAGGCAGGCGCCCGTGCGCCATGAACGGAAAGCAGCGCCCGAGGCAGTTGGTGGTAAATGGCTGAAGGTGGACTCTCCCAGCCGGGCTGGAGGCTGCACTGAAGCCCCGCGGGGCTTCCCGGAAAGAGAGGCTGCGTGGGTAGACCCAAGGACAGGCTGTCGCTCGAGTTGGAGGTGGGCGTTCTGAGCACACCCCTGGGTGCGCCTGGAGGTTTGACATCCCCCTCGTCCCCCACCTCGAGATCCCAGCCCTGCCCTGCTGCTGCTTCTCCTTGCAGCCCCGTGGTTCCCGGCTCACAGCGACCCTAGAGCGACAGCGGTGGGTCTTTGGGTTCATGGCGATGTGCCCGCGCGTCTGCACTCCCCTCGTCTAGTCGGTGCTCGCTCTCCCGGAGCTGTGTGTGCGCAGCCAGCGGCAGTTCGCTTTAACTTTGCGGAAGGGTCCCTGGCAGACTGCGTCTTTCCCCACCTGCGCCAGGGCACCGGCCATACCTTACCTCTGCCTCTGCGCACCCCCCACCCCTGCAGAGCCCCCAACGGCCCCTTCAGCCACGCACGCACGCACAGACTCCGAAAGGACTCCAAAGGACACGCACTGGCGCAGACCCATCGCATGGGCAGCAGGTGTACCGGCGCACGCATGCAGGGGGCACGTACTCCTCAGGAAGGCCTGCCATGACATCTTTTATTAGATGACTGAGGGGACATCCCTGGTCTGCAGGGCAGGGCTGGGCAGAGGACGGGGCCAGTCTTGGCCAGGGCTGGGCTGGCTTCTGGAGGTGAGGGGAGTTTTGATCTTGCGTACACCAGCGTTGCACGGCTGCTCTCTGGCCCCTAGACTCCTAGAGGGGGCAGACCCTGGTTTCAGTCTGGCATGAGGGGCCCCCAGGATCTCCTGGGGCACAGCCCTTCTATCCACCGGCCCCATCCCCTTGTTAATCCAGCCCCCCAGCTTTGGCGGTTGCCCTCCATGCCCAGGGCAGTCTACGTGTCCCACCTACTGCCACCCCACCCCCACCCCGCCCTTCCTGCTTAGGCTCACCTCTGCTGATGACCCCAGAGCACCTGACCTTGGCCAGCTTCATCTGCAGAGAAAAAGCAGAGGGAATGGATGAGAAGGGACTACGGTGGCCAGGGAAACAGGCCTGAGGCTTCAGCCCACTCCTGAGGGGCAGGCAAGAGCATCCAGAGGGGTGAAAGGGCTCTAGGGAGGGGATGGGGCAGGGACCAGACACCTGAGGAAAGGCCGGCCTGGCCATTCACTGGACACTCCACAGCCGCTGGGCCCCTTCCTGCAAGCCATGTTCGCCAGCATGTCTGCTGCTAATGCTGTGGCATACTTCTGGCAGTAGAAGGTGACCATCTTGTCTGTGAGGTCCACGTGTCGAGTGGTCCCAGAGCACCCCCGCCGCGGGATGTTCTGAAAACCCTCGTGCAGCTTCCCCGCCCCCAGCTTCAACTTGAACTTCTTGAGCTCATCGGAGGTCAGGTTCTCCAGCGCCTCCAGGATGGCGCCCGCTTGTTTCCCATGGCTCAGTCTGGCCGCCTCTGGACCCAGGCCGCCCAGCGCCTAGAAGTCACCAGCTTGGCCTGGGCTGGCCCCTCAGTAGGTGGGGCTGCCACCTGGGTGGAGGTCCCCAGGAGGAGACTGGGCAGTCAGGCAGCCAGGGCGCCCCGGGGTCCAACCCAGAGGCTGGCGGTGGGGGTGGGGCTTGTGGGGAGATGGCCATTTATCCCAGCCACAGCGGAGGTGGGGATGGCCCGCTGTCCCCATTCTGCAGAGAAGGAAACTAGCTGAAGCAGGACTGCAGCCCTGCACATCTTATCCCAGCAGCGTGGCTACCTGTATCTGTTTGTCAGCGGTCACAAACCCGGGGGCCAGGGCTAGGAGCCTGCCCACAGACGAGTTTGGTTGCTCAGCCAGCAGACACTTGCTGACCTTACCTCCCCCTAGCCCACAAAGAGAGGAGCCCTGGTGGTGTAGTGGGTTATGCACTGGGCTGCCTGGAAGGAGAAAGAGGAGGCTTTCTAATCCCGTAAGGTGACAGTCTCAGAGACCCAGGGGGCAGTTGTACCCTGTCCTATGGGTCACTATGAATTCACGTGGACTGGAGGACAGTGAGTGAGCAAACAAGCCCTCCAAGAGGCCCTGGTGGTGCTGTGGGCGAAGCATCCGCATGCCCAATGGCAAGGTGGGTGGTTCACAGCCTCCAGCCGCTGTGCGGGAGAAAGATGAAGCTGTCTGCTCCCATAAAGATGGGGTCTTGGGAACCCCAAGGAGCACTACGAGTCTTCCCCAGGATAAGGTTGCTGCTACGAGTCAGAACAATCCCAATGGCAGTGTTTTCAACCTTTGCCTGTGAATCCGAGGAAGGTGTAAGAGCAGGTCATCCACATTCGGATTCAACCCCTTCACTGTCCCATCACTTACTCTACCTCCTCCTACGGCTCCTGCTTCCCAACCTTCGGAGCACCGTCTGGGACAGATGCTGCCCTTCTGATGACAAATGGGTGATGATTTCTAACGTGGAGGTGTGTCCACTTCTAGACAAGAAGGGCCAGGGCTATCATCTTGGTGGCCCACCAGACTCCAGTGGACCAGGTCGCCTGGTCTTCTTTCGTGATTTGGAGTTCTGTGGGCAGTGGGTGTTTATTTCCAGAGCCCGTGGGTGTTCAGGAGGCCGGCTTGGGTGCTTGGATGACGCTCTACTTTCAAGGAGGGTGTGCAGGAAGGACCCCAAAGAGGGCCCGGTGGTGGTTGCATCCCAGGATCTGTCCACACCACACCCCTAGACTTCAAACCTTCCTTTGGGAGCAGACCTAAGCTCTGAGTCCCTCACTCTTTGCCCCCACCTTCAAGTGTCATCTGCTCTCACTCAGCGAGCGAGCCTTTGCGCTCACTGGCTCAGCCTCTGCAGGCAGCACCCTTCCTCCAGTCCCTGACCTGGCTTATGTGAGCCATCTCTGCAGGGCCTGCCTTTCTTCCTTCTTACCTCCTTTACCACCCTGACGAGCCCCGGGGACACAGCGCCTGACGGGTTGGGCTGCAAACCGCAAGGTCAGCCAGCAGTTCCAAACCATTGCTCTTTTCCGGAGTACAATGAGATTTTCTGCGCCTGTCAAGTGTGCAGCCTCGGAAGCCCCCAGGGGCAGTCCTAGTCTGTGCGATAGGGTGGCCAGGAACCAGAACCGACTGGCTGGCCGTGGGTTTAGGGGAAGGGTAAGCACAGACGCGTCAGGTTCATGCGGGGAGGGGCTCTGCTGTGGGACCGTATGCACTTGGCTGACCCAGTCAAAGGCGAGGCTGCCTTTGAGGGTGAAATCAAGTTCATGCTGGAGGACTTCAAAGGAGGGGCCATCACCCAGAGCCCCAGGCAGTCGGCAATGGAGCACTCCGAGGGGCAGAGAGTCTTTCTACACACATGACCGTGCTCGGAGCCCCTGTTCTCCCATTGGTTCGGGGAGGCTGTCGGTGGCCACAGCTGCCATCCTCACGAGGTCCTGTGCTGGGGGGCTGACTCAGAGGGGCTGGAACCAGGGAAGGGAAGGTTAGGGAACCCGACCGGGAAGGAAGGGCAAGGATCAGCTGCCAGCCTGGCTGGTGGAGGAGCTGGGGACAGCAGCTGGGGGTGGGGGCTGCAGCTTTGGGAGATGATCTCTTCCTCACTTCTTTGTGCCCTACTCCCCCAGACGCAGCTTCCCCAGCAGCAGCAGCTGCTGCAGGAGGCATGCACGCACAAGGAGAAGAGTGTGGCCCTGCTCCAACACCAGCTGGCCGAGGTGGAGGTGAGGGCACAGCCCGGCAGCATCTGGGGGCTGGGGGTTCATGCTGGGCGTCCCCAGCTAAGCGCTTTTGCCTGTCTGCCCCCTCCTCAGGAGACCGTTCGACAGTTCCGGGAGGCCGTGGGGGAGCAGTTGGGGAAGATGCGGGGGTTCCTGGATGCTCTGGAGAGCTCTTTGAACCGGGAGGCAGCTCGCTTGCAGGAAGAGGCAGGGCAAGCCCTGCGGCGGGAGCTGGGGGGCTTGGGCTCTTACCTGGAGCAGCTGCGGCAGATGGAGAAGGTGCTGGAGGATGTAGCCGAAAAGCCGCAGACTGAGTTTCTCATGGTGAGTACCCAGCCCCCAGAGACATCATCCCAGGGGCCGGGAGAGGGGCAGGGGCCAGCCTGGGTCACGCATCCAGGAGAGGGGTGCCCCAAGACTGCTGTCTGGCTTTTGACGTTGAACACTGCACAGCAACTCAATTCCCTGCTAGCGAGTCCATGCCAACCCAGCAATCCTGTAGGACAGGTTAGAAGTGCCCTTGTGAGTTTCTGAGACGGTCACTCTTTATGGTAGTAGAAAGCCGATCCTCCCTCGGAATGGCTGGTGATTTCGAACCGCTGACCTTGCTGCTAGCAGCCCAGTGCGTAACTACTAGGCTACCAGGGCTCTGTGAGCACTACACATTAAGATAATCTTCTAACAGGTGGGATTAGCATTTGGGGTGAGGGGTGAGGCAGAAAACAAACTCACTGCATTTGGTGGCTGCTGACTCATAGTGACCCTATAGGACAGGGTGGGACTGCTCCTGTGAGTTCCCAAGACTGTAAATCTTTGGGGGCGTAGAAGGCATCGTCTTTCTCCCGAGGTGTAGCTGTTGACCTTGGAGTTTCCAGGAAGGAGATGCCTTTTCTAATTTACACGGAGGTGAGAGGCTAGGCGTGGCCTCCACTCTGAGTTTAGTTTTTGTCTTTGGTCGGGTGAGGCTTCTCTGATTCTTCCTGATCTGATGCTTCGTCCTCAGAGGTCCCCAGGTCCTCCCTGTCTCCCTCACTTCTTTTATCTTTTTCTCTCTCTCCAGAAATACTGCTTGGTGACCAGCAGGTGAGATCAACCTAGTCCCGTCTTTTCCCCCAACTGACTCCAGTCTCCCAGGGACACACACTACTGTTCCTGTACTGTTCCCTACCAACCACTGCGATTCCACTGCACCACACTGCATGTTAAACCCAGAAATGAACCAGAACCGGTCCCTACCCTCTCTTGGGGACCTCTCCGCCTCCAGGCAGGGCCTGTGTGCTCCATGCTGCTGTGGAGGGAAACGGGTGGTCAGAGAAGGCGGGCCCTGCAGAGATGGCTCGCATAAGCCAGGTCAGGAACTGGAGGAAGGGTGCTGCCTGCAGAGGCTGAGCCAGTGAGCGCAAAGGCTCGCTTGCTGAATGAGAGCAGATGGCATTTGAAGGTGGGGGCGAAGAGTGAGGGACTCAGAGCTTGGGTCTGCTCCCAAAGGAAGGTTTGAAGTCTAGGGGTGTGGTGTGGACAGATCCTGGGATGCAACCACCACCCGGGCCCTCTTTGGGGTCCTTCTTCTCGTCCCTTCTCCCGCCTCCACCCCACGCCTCCTCCAAGAAGGGTTCAGACACTTTTCCTGACCTCCCACCCCTAGACTGCAGAAGATCCTGGCCGAGTCTCCACCGCCGGCCCGCTTGGACATCCAGTTGCCCATCATTTCAGATGACTTCAAATTCCATGTGTGGAGGAAGATGCTCCGGGCTCTGATGCCAGGTACGGGGAGGGACGGGCACCAGGTTGGT